TCTAACATCGGTTTACCAATTACATCTTACCTTACTTGTTTAACACTGGTTTACCAACTACATCTTACCTTACTTGTCTAACATCGGTTTACCAATTACATCTTACCTTACTTGTTTAACACTGGTTTACCAACTACAGCTTATCTTACTTGTCTAACACTCGGTTTACCAACTACATCTTACCTTACTTGTTTAACAATGGTTTAACAACTACAGCTTATCTTACTTGTCTAACATCGGTTTACCAACTACATCTTACCTTACTTGTTTAACAATGGTTTAACAACTACAGCTTATCTTACTTGTCTAACATCGGTTTACCAATTACATCTTACCTTACTTGTTTAACACTGGTTTACCAACTACATCTTACCTTACTAGTTTAACAATGGTTTACTAACTACATCTTACCTTACTTGTTTAACAATGGTTTAACAACTACAGCTTATCTTACTTGTCTAACATCGGTTTCCCAATTACATCTTACCTTACTTGTTTAACAATGGTTTAACAACTACAGTTTATCTTACTAGTTTACTAACTAAAGTTTACCTTTCTTGCCACCGGATTCGCCCATATTCTAGAAATCTTAGAAGTTCTTGGATGTTCTGTTATAGGTCTGGAAGTCACGAATGACAGTAATTTTTTTGCGTCAAGTTATAGTGTATGTCCAAGTTGCAGTAAAAATTATTGTTCTGCTCATTTGAAGAGGGCCAAACTGTATTTACGTGAATTATTGCAAAATTCATTGTAACCTTTACAAGTAATAACTATATTATGTTATCAGTATTACAGAATTGATAAATTTTGTATTTTAATCAACAATACTAAAATTTATTTTTATTTTTATCAGTAAAATAATAATAATAGTTTCGTTTGTAATAAAAAATGTTTAGCAAGATGTTTTGTGAAAGCTCCTATTGTGAGTCGGGTTCTTTGGACTAATTGGTAAAAAAGACAAATGCAAGATTCAGTCTACTGCTTATTCGTTTAACGATAACGTAAACGTATTATTACTTGAATTTCAGGTTCTAACTTTAACGAAATTTAAAAAAGCCTACCTTCAAAAATAAGGCTAAAATCTCACTTTTAAGTTATTTCGTTTACTAACTTCTTCAATTTCGTTGAAACATAAATTCAAAATTTAAATCACTGAACTTACTAACAGTAACAGACAAACAAATTCGACAACTCACTAATTCAATCAACAATCTGTTCAGAGACACATCTAACACGCATTTTATATCGTTCAAGTCAGTTTCTTAACTTTCTAGAAAATTCCAGAGGTTGATCAATGCGCTCGTTACGTCATAACGACATTCCCTCTGACAAATCATTGCCTCTGATATTCACTTCTATTTTAGTTTATGTAAATACAAGTCACAGAGGAAGTTTTCATTCGGTCAATGGTATTCAATATTAGTTAGTTTGTTTTATGTGAATATGAGTAAAGGAGAAAGTTATCGTTTCGTTGGCAGTGCTTACTCCTAGTTTTGATTTATTGGCTAAATGTTCACGATAGCCACAATAAACTTTGGGAGGTAGTATAACGAAATAGTTTATGTTACAGAATTAGTTGGCCATCAGACGACTCTGGAGTTCCAAGACCTTCATATTGGAGCCTATACATCTTCCAAATTTCCTGCTTTCTCTCCCCACATCCAGACCAGGGATGTTACCAATTTTACTGGTCATATGCAGCAGTTTGAGTTTAATGGACATAGTTTCTTCGAGATGGCTAGAACTGGCCAGCTTAAAGATATTCGGGTGAGAGGGATATTAATGTATATTATAGCAAACTGTGAGTGTTACATAAAACAGCAACCACCGTTCTTAGTTACTAAAATTTGTTGGTTATAAAATCATTATTTTAAGATATTTTTTGCATCAAATGTAAAATCTGACTCTGATCAAAAAAAAATCTTTAAGACATGTAGGCTTTATTTTGGAAATAGTAATTAATCATAATGTGAATAGTTAGATATCAAGAGATCACATAGAAACAGGAAGCATAATACATTTCTGTAACTGTTTAAGGAAAATTAAGAGCTTGTTGAGAAAGGGTGAATCTTACAACTAAATTTTCAAAAAGCGATTAATTTTCAGTTAGTGCAAGTATCCTCATCATTCAAAAAAAAATTAATTGACGACTGTTTTGATGGTTTAGATGACAGCGAAGTTTGGAAAGAAAGAACAAATTATTCATCACCCCGTTACGTTTAAATCGAAATATACCTATTTAGGGTTTTCCCAGTTGAAGGCCTATTCCGCAATGAATTTGTATTTCCAATTTAAGACACTAGAGCCAAACGGTTTAATCCTCTACAACGCCGGAAGAGAGCAAGACTTTATTGCTATCGAACTAGTAAATGGACATCTTGATTACATTTTTAACCTTGGAGACGGCCCCAGAAAAGTGAGGTCGAACACAAGACGGACTTTGAATGATAACAGATGGCATGCAGTGACAATTGGCCGACATGTTTTGCGTCAGTATACTTTAATGGTTGATGACATGATCGCTACGGTGACCAGCACAGGCTCTAATGTACACCTAGATTTAGATGGACTTCTATATCTAGGAGGAGTGAGAAGGAACATGTATAACTATCTGCCAAAATTGATTCAGTCGAAGCACGGATTCGAGGGCTGCTTAGCTTCATTGGACTTTAATGGAGAAACTGTAAACCCTACTGTCGACGCTATCGTACCCAGCACATTGGTGTCAGAGAGTTGCACTGGTAAGTAGAGAAAAACACATTCCATTTCATGTACTAGAGCGTACTGGGTTCGAGGGTTACTAAGCCTCTTTGAATTAAAGCGTGAAGGGTTCGAGAACTGCTAAGCCTCGTTGGACTTAAGCATGCTGGATTAAAGGATTGTTGAGCCTCCTTGGACTAAAGCATGAATCAAGTTAAGAATTCTGAATTCGATAATTTCCTATTGTTATTTGAAGTGTTTAATGGAATATCTGGATCATTCTAATCAACTTCAAAACATTAAGCTTGACAGAGTGAAAAAAGTAAAAATTTGAGTTCCACTGTCAAACAACATATTATATCAAAGAAAAACTAGTTTAGAAAGTTACATCCACTGCACTCCTCCCTACCCACCTCTATATACTTGTTAGGTGAATTTAGAATTAATTAATTTAAAGTACATTTGACAATAAAATAACTCCAAGTTTCTTCTCTGGTTGTTTAACTAGATATTATCAATTCGAAACAGATTTTACAAGGAAAAAAATACAATTAGTTGGTATAATTTTCTGGTTGTTTACCTAGTTATTATTAATCAATCTAAAGCAAATTTTACGAAAAAAACAACAGTTATGGTTTCCTATCTCTGATTAGCTGGACATTATTAATTAAAAGCAGATTTTACGAGAACAACAACAATCTAGATTATTTTCTATTTGTTGAGCTGTGTAGTTTTAAAGCCAATCGGCAACAAATAAAACTTGCGATTAACAATAAGTAGAAATATAGTGGAAGCCGTCTAGAAAGAATGATAGATAAAACTTATGATATGCTGCAAGTGAGTAAATATATATACTTTCTTATGGGGAGGAAGATCCGCAATAATGGACTTTTTTATCCACTTCTTAGTCAATAAGCCAGCTTTTCGTTACTTAACAAAAGTGATAGATAGAATGAGGCAGACAATGGTAGTATTCTTATTGAAATGAAGACTTTCAACTGGTAGTTGGAGATATAAACACTGAACAACCACTCCGTTTGCATTAGCTTGACTTAGTTTTTAAAAGCTTAAATAAAATATATTTATTTTAATATCTTTTTAACATTCTGTGTCTAAACCTAATGTGCCCTCAAACCTTGACCTTTTCCAATCCTAACCTACCCTCTAAACTTGTCATTTTTCCTAACCTGTTCTATCCCCTAAGTTTGTCCATTTTCCTAACCTTAATTATGTTATGTATCTGCTCATTTGATAATTTCTTTAATTTCCAGTATAAATTCTTTCCGAGGAACTTCAGCGATACAAGTCCTTTCTTAATTAAAACTAGTTTATTCTTTCTCGATACAACTTCTCTATCTTCAATCTATCTGCATATCTATTCTATCTATCTGTCCAATCGCGCTGTTTTT